TTTATTTTTTAATTTGACCAGAGAAAGAGAGAGAGAAAGTGAGAGAGCAAGCTGCCAGGTCTATGCCAGACTAGAGCCACAGTCAACCATGTGAGAGTCCAGCATCTTTAACCATCATAACACCTGCTGGCTCTAAGTCATTATGCATTTTCAATGACATATGTACAATTCTGTATGTTATTTACCTATGTATTTTCTTAATACCCAAATTTTTATTTTATCTTAAACCCATTGCTTTTTCATTTCTATCATTCTAATACTAAAAATCAATTTATATATAAAAATTTAGAAAGATCATTGTATTTGTCACTAGTTTTTATCTAGAATTCTTTCCTGATAGATGAATGTCATTTTAAAAACCTAGTCACAATAAAAATGCTAAGAATAGATAGATTGTATTTCATATTAAATGAACTGAGTTGTTAAACAATATCAAATGGAGTTTATAGTGGAAATAAAAATCAAATTTACCTTTGCCTAGCAATAGAAGGATTCATTTTTTTTAGTTTTGGATCATACTTCCTCAGAGAACGTAATTATTCTCAATTTTTAAAAAAGATACCTTTATTAGTTTGAAAGGTTTTCATGTTCATTGGTAGATTAGAAAAGTTTTATAAAAGGAACAAAAACACAAAATAGAAAATATCTTATTGATCTAATTGAACATCTTCAAATGCCAGTAAAGATTTGCTGAGGTTTTTTTTTAACACCTGTGTAATAATGTTGCACTTTAAATGTAACTGGTTAAATTTTCAAAGCTGTGTTCTGGGATTTTGCCATTTGATGTCCATTAATATCAATTGGAATATGCGGCCAAATCCCTGTATACCACTTTGAAATTTTACCCCTTAGTGTTAATTTTCATTTCTATCATTCTAATACTAAAAATCAATTTATATATAAAAATTTAGAAAGATCATTGTATTTGTCACTAGTTTTTATCTAGAATTCTTTCCTGATAGATGAATGTCATTTTAAAAACCTAGTCACAATAAAAATGCTAAGAATAGATAGATTGTATTTCATATTAAATGAACTGAGTTGTTAAACAATATCAAATGGAGTTTATAGTGGAAATAAAAATCAAATTTACCTTTGCCTAGCAATAGAAGGATTCATTTTTTTTAGTTTTGGATCATACTTCCTCAGAGAACGTAATTATTCTCAATTTTTAAAAAAGATACCTTTATTAGTTTGAAAGGTTTTCATGTTCATTGGTAGATTAGAAAAGTTTTATAAAAGGAACAAAAACACAAAATAGAATATATCTTATTGATCTAATTGAACATCTTCAAATGCCAGTAAAGATTTGCTGAGGTTTTTTTTTAACACCTGTGTAATAATGTTGCACTTTAAATGTAACTGGTTAAATTTTCAAAGCTGTGTTCTGGGATTTTGCCATTTGATGTCCATTAATATCAATTGGAATATGCGGCCAAATCCCTGTATACCACTTTGAAATTTTACCCCTTAGTGTTAATGATAGTCTAACAGTGCAGTTAGAAATAAATTATTTATCGGGTGAGCTCAAATTTCCTTTACTCTCTTGGGTCAACTAAATAAGAAAAAATTTAAAAAGAAAAATTCTGATATCTCTTTATTACTTCAGAGTAACATATATGTAAGGAAACTATTAGCTTATTATGTATTGAGCATGTTAGTTATTTTATGCAGAGATAATTGTATGGCTATCTAAAGATTTGTTGAAGTTAGAGATTGTTTTTAAAATAATTCTGTTCTTTAACTTCTTTCTTAGATTTCTTTTTAGTATAGCTAAATATATGTGTATGTAAATATGTATGTGTGTTCTCACTATTAATTTTTCCCCACTATGTTATTTTATTTTTATGGTTTCAATATATAGGCTAAGAATAAATTATTGATAAATATTCTGCTATGGAAAGACTTTTTGACATTCAATTTGTAATTTTTCCTAAGTTAATACTTGGCTTTCTAACTGTCCTTTATGGAATTCTGATGTGTCAGCATTGAATATTTTTTTACTAAGAAATACTAATATCCAGAAGAAGCTTTTAAAGATATGAGGGCAATAGACATCTCCACAAACATTTTTGGGGTTAAGTGCTAAGTATCAGTTATGCTTAATTTCAATTTTATCTGAAATAGATATGAAAAAGAAACAGAGACAGCTTTGGGGTTTTTTTTTTTTTTTGCTTAATATTTTAGAGCAGTTTCAGGCTCACAGTAAAACTGAAAGGAAGCTACCAGATAAACCAGATATCGATATACTTGCTGCCACCATGCATACATTGCCTCCCTCAGTATGAACAGGCCCCACAACAGTGGTACATTTGTCACATCGATGAACCAACATTGATACATCATTATCACCTAAAGTTCATACCTTTTCTTAGGGTTTACACTTGGTGTTACACATCCTGTGGATTCGGACAAAGGTACATGGTATACTATCATACATAGTATTTTCACTTTCTTAAAAAATCCACTGTGCTCTGCCGATTCCTCCCTCTCTGTTCCCTGGCAATCACTGGTCTTCTTCTTTTTTTTAATTTAAATTTATTTATTTACATTCATTCACTGTACATCATTACAGCATACAATGTGAAATTTCCCATCCAGAGTACACTGCATATTGGCTCAATAAAGCACATCAACATACATGTTATCATCAACAAATAATTTTCCATTTCTTGTTTCCTGGATGTTTTGCTTTTTTTCCCCCATCCTTGATTCCCTATCTCTTACCCTCTGCCATCTCCCACTCTCCTCCCACACTGTCTCTGGTATCTTTGTTTGCTTTCTATGCTTTTTTCCCCCCGCATTTTATTGAGTCACTAAAGATCTTAATTAATCTAAATATTTCATAGCAAGCACAGCTGATATATACATTTCCATGAACACAAGTCCAACTTTAGACATAAGCCTCAGTGAGTAGAATGAACACCCTATGAAGTAGCTGGGGCTACATATCTTACTGCAGTCATTGAATAGGTATTTTTAATGCATTTATTTTAATTTCAAGAAAAACAGTTTTAATTTTATTTTTTTCCTGAACCTTTTCTTTTTTTTATTTTTAAACTTAATTTGCATTTATTCCCTAAGCATCATCACAGCACACAGAATGTGATTTCCCATCCAGAATATACCACATAGTGGCTTAATCATGCATGTTATTACCAAAAATTTTCCATTTCTAGTTTCTTGTATTTTTTTTACCCTGTTTCTCTCCTTCTGTCCTTTCCCACCCTCTTCTCACACTATCTCTGGTGTCTACAGTTGTCTTCTATTCCTTTCCCGCCCACATTGCATTGATCACACAATTTCTTAAATAATCTAACTACTTTCAATAGCATGTTCACTTGGTACTATTAAGAAAACCAGGTTTAACTTAAATCAAAGAAATGCTAAGGAACTTTGCTTAAAACTTAAAGCTAGGAAACAGGTTAGGATTCTGTTCCAATGGTAGGTACATGAACCTATCCATATCTCAAGACAGGACACAAATCCTTATAACCAGATAACAAAGTCTACAAGAATATCAGCATCGTTTTAGTCAAAAATCATAAAATTATACTTCACCAATTCAGTTTCCCACTGGTCTTCTTACTGTCACCATAGTTTTTTGCCTTTCCCAGAATGTCATAGAGTTGACCTAAAGTGTATGGCTTTTTCAGCTTGAAAGCCACTGATTTTAAGGAACCTCCAGGCGCTTCCCTCAAAGTGAGCCCTCCAGTCAACACCTATTGGTAATGTTGGTAATTATGGTTGTTCTGGTGGAGGTGATGATAAAAATCTTGCCACACAAGTCTGAACTAGTTACTTGTTTGTGGAGTTGTGCTTTAAAGGCAATGTCAAATTCTTGCACAAACAGAACCTTAGTTCAGAAAATGCCTCTAAAGTACCACTGATTTACATATGAATTCCAAGGATGTAAAATTATATTCTTCTGTTACTAATGCATTAATTTACTTTTTTTAATACTTGAGTATCCTAAGTGCCTTTAGTATAGTATATATATTTTCTATTTTTAAATTTTATTTATTTTACTTCTTGAGAGAGAGTGAGAGAGAGACCGGCATCCCCAACAGGGTCTCAATATGATGTGAATGCTGTTCTCCCAACCTGTGCCACCCCCCTGCTTTCCAGCCAAAAAGGCTCATAGGAATTCATGCTCACCCGTCCAGCATGTTTCAGGTTGAGCCAGTCTCCAAACCCTTGTCTTCTATGTAGGCCCAGTATCCACGAGCAACACACTACTGCCTGAGCCTCTGTGGCTGAGCCATTCATATTTAAAATGACCCTCAGCATTCTGTCTACCCAAACCTTTTAATTCCTATTACGGAATAATATATTGATTATGTTTCCTAATTAAAACCTAAGAAAGCTAAACATGTATATTCTAATTACTGAAGTCTAGTAAATTCCATTTTACTTTGCAAAACTTCCTAATATATGAAAACATTAAATTAGGCTCTCTGTATTGCATCATACTGGGAAACACATGTAAAAAGCAATATGGAATCTGGAAGTTCATCAGCACCTTGCTTATTTTTACAGTATCTCTATTCACACCAGCTGCCTTATACTTTGAGGAGACATAACAGAGCTGTATTTATGTGCTATATGTAATTGTTTTTCTTTTTCAAAAATCTGCTCTTTCTTGTTCTATTTGAAACAGATGCTCGAGTGTTCCATATAATCTTTTACACATGACTATAGATCAAGTCATAATATGCATGTATTTAATGTTAGATTTCTAGGACTGCTATATTCACTTGCATAACATCTCTGTATTCAAAAATAGCACCAGAGTCTTTAAAATAGAAACACGTTCATTGACAAATTAACACACTTTGAAACACAGCAGTGTTTGCACATTATATGTGTACACATATTAAATAGAGATAAAGAAATTTGAAACTTGTCCAGTTCAACACTGCCATTGCATAATAGTCAGCATAAGTCACTATGCTCAACTAGTCAGTATACTAATCACTTATTACTCTCATTTTCTGTAGGGACAGCGATCAGACCTATTGCTTTGAGAGCTGTGACCTCCATTGCTCGTGCTTTGCCTGGATTTCCCATTTTGGCCACCGGTGGAATTGACTCTGCTGAGAGTGGTCTTCAGTTTCTCCACAGCGGTGCTTCAGTCCTGCAGGTAGTACTTGTGTTCATCTGTTCTTTTAAAAAGCTTCATGTCATGGGACCAGCAGTTAGCATAATGGCTATGTCGCTAGACTCCCATGTAGCTGACCATGGTTCGAGTTCCAGACCTGGCAGCTTAAACTCCTGCTGCGCACATGTCCGTGCATCCCTAAGATCTTGAGAGGAGAATGGAGGAGAAGGGAATGCGATGTGGCTGTTTCCCCTCGGGGGGTGATTTCTCGCTTTCTGTCTCTCTATCTCTGTCTGTCTTTCTGGTGAGCATGCATGACCTATAGCAAAAAAACCTCTCCAAAAATGAAGAAAAAATCTTCATATCACAAATACCATGTAAATTATGTGACAACAAATAAATTCAGAGGCAGTATGATATCAAAATGGCAGCACTCATTAATATATCCTCGTGAATCAAGAGCAAAGCTGCGGTTCATTTCCTGAGAGTATCCAAACCCTCTTTCTCTAATGTATTTATTCACCCATCTGTTTCTAAAATAAATGAAATCTGGTTCCAAAATGCATACTACACTACTGGATAAAAACAAATACATGTGGAAATCTGGGAAAAAAGTAAAACTATAACTGAAAAATAGTGACATCAAGGGTAAGACCGATACACGCCATCTATGCTGTAAGGTGTGGAGAAATCACCACATTTGACTCTGAACCTCCTGGCACCCACACGATTGACTTTGTAACTTTCAAAATATTAAAATAAATTGGTTATTCGGCTTCTTGTGGTACAAAGCCACATCGTCTTCATAAAGAGATATTTGAGATGTAGTGAATTCCATTTTTAATACCACTTTTGTAAGTAATAAAAATTGGATAATTTGTTTTTTTATAATGTTGCTCAACATGGGGACGTTACTACTGGCACATTTTAGCATAAGCATTTCTCTGAGGGGACATAGATGCAGGTTTTGTGATTTGATTTGACCCAGGGACAAAATGTTTTGTGTAGTGACTAGATGCTGAACGCTCAAGTAATACTGTACTCCATCAGTATGACTTCTCCACTACTGGGCATTGATGTAATTGGAAAGGAGGGCGTTTAGTATCACTTATATTCTGTGCCCAAAAAATGGGGGCAGTGTAAACATCCTATGTCGTCAATTTGAAGAATCAGAATTACCATTGCCTCATGAAATGCTTACAAGCTAAGATAGAAAGAATACATATTAAAATGCCAATGGAAACAGACGTCTGCTTCTAAGAAGATGGAGTAGACTTACTTTTCTCCATGCTATCTACCTTATAAAGCTAAAAACCTTTATATATACAAGCAATATAGGATGACTCTGAAAGATACACAGAAGGCAGAATGAGTAAAGCCCTGGACATCTAGGGAACAACACAGCCAGAGTTTTCTGGGGTTTTTTGTTTGTTTGTTTTTGTTCTGTTTTATTTCATATATTTCAAACTTGGAGCCAAAGCAGCACAAAAATGCAAAACGACTTCAGAGAAAAACCGGATCTCTTTAGCCAAAGAAGCAAAAAAACGGCAGCTAGCAAGACAGAAAACTTTTAAGACAGTAACCGCCCTATTCCAGGCAAATACCATGGATAAAAACTATGTCTCCATATCACCCACACAAGCAAAGGGCAAGGAGAATCGGAGACCACTCTTACCAGGCAACCCCACAGCCACACTGGGCAATGATGAGCTCCCCCATGTGGGAATCCTGGGCTTCTGCTCCCACCTGAGAGTAATGTGATGTCCCTTCTCCTTTACCTGTGGCGTTAGAAGCAGTCTAGTGGAGAGGCAGGACTTACATCATCAGCTTGTGGAAATAAGGCCACTTACTCTCTTCTTCCTGCCCATGGTAACAGTGAAGGCCAAGTGGCATTCCTACTCCTCTCAGCCAGGGAGCTATCAGGGGAGGATTAGTGGAGAGCCAGAATTCCCACCATCTCCCTTCAGTGATAAGGAGCCATGCCCCATGGGTATCAAAAGAGGCCAGGTAAAGAACCTGGGTTTCTATCTGGCAGCAGGAAGACTTCACCCTCCTTTTCCCCTGACAGAGTGATGTTAAGGAAAACCAACTAAACCAGAAGGGTAAATAAGATCAAGAGTCTCTTAACATAATAACCCAAGTGTCAAAACTTTAATTAAAAAATTACTCATCATACCAAGAGCCAGAAATATGTCAAGCTGAATGGTAAAAGATAATCATTAAATGCTAACACCAACATGACCATTTTTAAAAATCTGACAAGGAATTTAAAGTAGTCACCATAAAATTGCATTAACAAGAAATTAAAAATACTTTTGAAGCAAATGAAAAACAGAAAGTTTCAACAAAGGAATAAAGTATATAAAGAAGAATCAAATGGAAATGTTAGGACTAAAAAAATGTAGTAACTAAAATGCAAAACTCAATTGATATGCTCAGCCTCAGTATGGAGAGAAAAGAAGAAAAAAATCAGTGAAACAGAGAATAGAGCAATAGAAATTAACCAGTCTGAACAAGAGAGAGAGAAAAAAGACTATATATATTTTAAAAAAAGAATGAAGTCTCAGAGAACTGTACTGTGAGATTATAATAAAAGATCCAGTATAAATGTCATTAGAATCCCCAAAGGAAAGGTGAAAGAAGGTGGAGATGAAACAGGAATAATAACTGAGAGCTTTTTTTAAAATTATTTTTGCAAAATACATGAAAATAAAAATTTAAAAATCTGAATGAAACCCTATTATGGATACACTCAAAGGAATCTCAACCAGAACATGGGCTGGCCAATTGGCACAGTGGTAATATACCACTCACCAATGGTAGATTCATATAGAAGATCATGAGCTCAATTCCCCAGATAACCTGTATACCCTGAGTGTGTGCACCATGATCCTGACTGGCTGGGAAGGCTTGACTGGGGAGGGACAGGGGAAGTATGGTCTGGGATTCCCTGCTGGGGGTACTTGTCTCTTCTGTCTCTCTCCCTCCTTGTGTGTGTTGTATTCTCATGAAACAAAGAAAGAACCTTTTTTTAAAAAGGCAGATATCCCCAAACACATCATAGCCAATCTTCTGAAAACTAAAGACCAAAGAAAGAAACTCAAAAACAGCAAGACAGAAATGACATCTTACCTCTAGGAACAGGTCATTCTAAAGACAGCGAATTTCCCATCAGACTTCATGGAATTGAGAAGGAAATGGGACAGCAGTTTTCAAGGACTGGAAAACAAACAAACAAACAAAAGAACAGTCAATCTTCTATATCATTCAAGAATTAAGGGATGAAAAGTTAATCAAGACAGTCTCAGCCAAAGAAACACTAGTATCTCTAGGAGACCCTAACTAAGAAAATGATTGAAGAAATTTCTTAAGAAAGAAGGGAATAATAAAAGAAAGAATGTTTGGATATCAGGAAGGAAGGAAGATTATGAAGCAGGGTCTTTGGAAAGAATATGGAAGATAACAGATGTTCAGTCTTGAATATGACCTGAGTTTATTTTCATGAACACATAGAAATTGATGGACCAGAGAACATAAATGGTTTTGAGTACATTCCAGAACAGACTCCAGCCCATTGATAGACATATGACTGTAGGCAAGCCATACCTGGGGGGTGAAGATTGTTAGGTATCTACCAAGTGCTGGTAGTAGCTGCTACTATTATATACAGTGTTTCTACAACCTACCACCTACCCAAGTGAAATAGTTTTATGCTCTTTTTTGATTGGCATCAGCTGAGGCTTGGAGAGTAAAAGTGATAACAGTCAAAGTTCCGCACCTAGGGTTAGAGCCGCAACTCAGACTTAGGGTTTCACAGACAAAATGCCGTCTCTAAAGAGTAAGTACACTGCCTATTCTGCTTTACAGGACTTGTAAGATGAGAATATCAGTAACAGGCAGGTCTTCCAACCCTACTTAAATGTTACATGTTCAGGGTATAGATTAATTCTTAAGAAACAAGACTCATAAAGGGAATGAATGTGAAAACAGAGAAGTAGGTCAGCATTATGTGTCCTGAGTGTAGATGTGTGCTCAGTGTGTGGAGCCTAGTTGTACATAAATGTAGGAAACATGATTCCCTTAAAAAGATGTGGTGAAACACATATTCAAATTTCAGTTTCTGCTTAGGCTCCTCTTAGATCAAGAATTAGAGACTTACTCAGACTACACTATATTAAGAAAATGAAGCCCATTATTTTCTTACATCAATGGGCCCCGAAACTGAATGAATCAGTGGAACAGTCTAGAGAAAGACCTGTGCCATCTCTCTTTGTGGGCCATGTGATTTCTCCCTCAGAAGAGTAGAACATCCTGCCTACTCTTTCCTACTCCAGTGCTTACTCCTTGCTTTTGCCTCCTCTAAGCTTCTGACTAGCAGCACATGGCTGTCATGACCTCCAGTCCACTTCACCAGTGATCTTTCACCTCCCGTTTCTACAAGAATTCCTCACTAGCTTAGTCTCTTGGCTCAGATTTTCAAGAAAGGAAATCTTTTTCACTTGGTTTATCTTTTCGTGCCAGGCTCCATCCTAAGCCACTCGTCATCCAAATATTGACTGGTTGATGCATAGCAAAACCACTTTGAATAAATGTTAAATTAATTTGTTAACTAAATACATGTAAGTTGCAATTCTCTTTTTTTCCTAAAAGAAAAAGTAAGATAATAAAATAAGTAAATAAATAAAAATAAAAGAGAAGGTAAGAGGATTTATGTAATATAAAAAGTCATTGCTTCTTCAGCCCTGATACACAATAGCCCAGAGACTTACCAGCTGTGTAGAATATTGGCTTTTAAATGATTGTGTTGAAAGAAAGGTGAAGTTCTACATATAAGCTTTTACTGGTAGAAAATTATAGATTATCAGTCTTACTGTTTGCTTGACTCAGATTTTTATCAAGCCAGACGAAAAAAAAAATTTAACCAATTTTAGCTAAACTATAAAATAAAATCAGTATTAAGATATACTCTGGATGTTCATGAGTTGGAAAACATTTAACTTTACAATTTTGGCTTGACATTTCAACAGTGTAGAGAATACATA